AGGGGAGCCAGCGGGGTGAGAGCAGAGGAGGAAAGGCTTGAAGATCTCCAAAGGAGCCGGAGAGAAGTAACCGAGGTATATATCCAGAAAATTATTTTACAGAAAATTACTGAATCATTACCTGTGAAACGTCAGGGACGTTGCTGAATAAGTATACTGGAGAGTAACAGCATCATCACGCAGCATGTTATTGTTTTAGACAGGTCTGAGCATTCTGTACTCCAAAAACTGCAGTGATATTAGACAATTGTGTGTGTAGGATTAATTACCTGTCCAAGAGAAAACTGGCAACTTGAGCGTCACTTTGAAAACCTTTTTCCTCCATCAGTGACTTCCATCGTGTAAATGCCGTGCCAATGTTGATCCGTGTTTTTTGTCGTTTCTTGTCACGCTTGCTTTATTCTCGTCGTGTTTCCGCTTCTTAGATGACGGGGGTTCGGTGCCCGCCGCTTTTCGTTGTGATACAGAGTAGGCATGATCCTCCATTCGTATGATGTTTGGCCACACAGTGCCAAACAGTTTGCAAAGTCACTCACGCCTGCCGCCTTGTTCACCTTTCTTGTTACTGAGGCGCAGTATACCTGCTTCTTCTTCTTCTTTGGTTTCAGGCAGACTAAACGCTTCTCAGGCATAGTACTGCCATCTACTGTTCAGTACTGTCTCAGTTAATCTCTCTCAACTTGCCGTAGTTATTTTCGAGCGTAATGGGCGATCTCGCAATCGCTAGTTTGTTGCCTCTGCGCTTGCCGTAGCGCAAAGATGTCAGCCTCCATGGCTGCGAGACCCGCTCCTATGTAATTATAAATAACGAATTCTAAGGCAACGCAAATATTATGGTTAAATGGCTGAGCTCATAGGTGATGATAAATAACATAGTTATGTATAATATATTAAATTTCTGACTTTATATCCCTGTAATTATTACACACTGTAGCTTTAAGTGTGTTGGCAAAGCATACAAGTACAGTATCATCAGCATGGATACAAAGAAAGGGCATTTGACAATTTTTTATCTTAATGCTCAATACAGTATAGATTGAAATAAAGGATGCACCCAAGATAGAACCTTTTTGATCCTGTAAGACAAGTGAAAGAAAGACCAATCATTAGCACACACTGTGAGTTCTCAAATTTCAACCTATTTAAGTGGATTCAAGTATAGTTTCACTATGCTAGTAAATGTGCTGATAAAATTTTGAGGCCAAAGGGGAATGCACAGAACCCTTCTATTTAGAAGTGTTCTGCAGCTTGCATGGGCTGCACTGTATTCACAAAGCATATAATACCAATTACACACTTGAGGTTGTATGTATTTGATGGGCAGCAATTTCATTAAATATGTTGCAGCTTTTCTTTTTTTCAAATACATTTTGGGGATCAAATACTGGTCCCCATGAGGAGAAGTTCTGTTCTTGGGGTGGAGTTTAGGTTTAGGACTAAGGTTTGATTTGAGTTTAGGTTAGGTTTAGTGTTAGGTATGGTATAGTAATGGTTAAGATAAGGGTCAATGTTAGGCTATAGAAATTAATGCAAAATGAATTAAAGTCAATGAAAAGTCTCCAGTGTGAGATAACATGGGTGCGTATCTGTGTGTGTGTATTTGTGCTTTACAGTTCATGGCAAAAAAGGATTTATGCATTAAAATCTAGTAGCAATGATTTGCATGGATTGCATTTACTATCCAGCAAAGTGCATTAACAATTCTACCTGGTGTTGTTTTGAATTTCTTAAAAATCCTGAAAAAGTGGAATCTAAGTTTTCCAATTATTTTTATTTATTTTTTATTATATATATATATATATATATATATATATATATATATATATATATATATATATATATATATATATACACACATATACATGCATATATAAATGTATACATGTATACTTAAGCACACATAGCAATACATATAACAAAACAAATTGACCATGTCAATATGTCTGAATGTCTAAAAATGGGTAGTAAGTAGTGAAACGTATGTATGTACGTATGTTCTCCAAAGTTCACCAATTATCCTTTAAAATAATTCACATGTCCTAATTAATTATATCAAACTTATGAAAATCCAAAAATAATTTAAGAAGATATTACCATTTTAAAAGCTTGCACTCTTTCCAGCTCTCTAAGAAGAAAACAACCGTTACAATGTTTTAATATACGCTGGAGCCAGCTGGTCAATAACCAAAGCAGTTCAAATCTTTGCACTTCTTGCTCCTAAGCAATGTTTTTCAAAAGAAGCTCGATTGAACTCGCAGCACAATTTATCTACAGTATGTGAAGATAATTACAGCACTGCAACAATAATTGTGTGCACTTAGAAAACATCTTACAACTGTCCAAAAAAATGAAAACACCAACTTTAAAGATAAGACACAACCAAGTTAGAGTGAGTAATAATCTTGACCTAAAATCCTTGGCATTTACAAAATTGAGAAATGTAAATGTTAAAGTTTCTGTTAATATCTGCATGTTATTTGAGTCTTCCAGTTGCATCAAGCAACTTGGCCGGAAATTAACATGTTGGTATCGCTTGTTTTGTTTTTGGAATGAACATTTTTCAAATGGTATTTTATGGGCCATTTTGGAATACAAAGAAGTCAAAGAAGTCTTCTAGGTTGTAGCAATCGGTCACTCAATAGACGATAAAACAGCAGTGGCCAGCAAAGTGTATGGGTGTTAATCTACAAGGACTAGCGCTGCAATATATATCTATATATATATATATATATATATATATATATATATATATATATATATATATATATATATATAAATAATTTTTTATTTTTTATTTTTTAAGACCAGACAAATAACACTTGCTGCTCCCCAGTTGGAAATAAAATAAAACTCTAGGAGAGGATGCAAATAGTTTTTTTTTTTTTTTTTTTTAAATAAGTGCAGACAGACAGACAGACACAGGCCATTAAAGCAGCAAACAAATGCATTCATTACTTGTACTGTATTTTGCGTATCCTAAAGGCAGCCGCAACTGGTAAAGGCAGTGTGGACATGGCAGATATGATCATTAGATGGAGGAGATGTAGGCAGATAAGACAGAGAGGAAAAGCAACTTTCCCAATTAAGGTAACTATCTTTAAATGACTGAAGGAAATAATTACCAGGACTTTTCGCTTAAGATGACTTGGAAACTCAAGCACTAGTGACTCCTAAGTTTCATAAAGCCTAAAGTGGTCAGGGCTTATTTCTATCTTCACTTGCACTTTAGGTAAGCTGGGCTTGTTATGCTGCATCATTACGTATGATCTGGCTACTGATTTTAATCATTTTGTTTCCATTCTTTTGCTCCTCTAAACTGTTAAATTTGGTTACATCTGTCTTCTTGATTCAGAACAGGTTTGTTATATGAGCCTCTGGCCTGACCAGAGATTATTTCTCCTTTGTGTTACTTATTTGCGCAGGGTGCCTCTGAGCACACTATTACCCCAGAGAAAAAGTACAGCCCTTAAAGCTCTGGGCATCACCGTTTTGCTATGTCTGAGGAAAAAAGTGTAATTTGGGTGTTGATTCTCTAATACTAGCCTACTTTACTCAGTGAAACCAGGAACCACTCAGCAAGTGTTTGTTGGATAAAATGTATGCATTGCACTGCGTGCTGGTTAAGGTAATGGGAAAAATGCATGACTACAGACTCTAAAGGGCACTTTTTAAAGAAGGAATCCAAGACAGGGAGGTTAGGCTAAAGTACTTTGTTCAAGTAAAGTGGGTTGTACACTGATTTTTTTTCCTTCAAATTCTAGCCTATGCTTTATGAATAAAAGCACATATGCGTTTTAGAGGAAAAAAACACAGCAGCAGAAATTTAAAATAGTAATTTAACCTGAGCTGAAGGGAGGAGTGCTGAAAAAATTTCTTCAGAAAAAAATCTTTGAGGATCTTTTCCTTCGATACTTCTTCCTTTTAAGGATCTATACATGTTTGTGGGTGAGGGTTTTATTACATAACCAGGCTTTTAATGATTAGAAGGTCTTATTGTGGTAGTTGCTAAGATTTATGTATAGAAAATCTATATTTTCAAGAAATAACATTATGGTTGCAATGACAGTGACACTAAGAAAAATCACAACTCTAAAATAGATTTGACGGTTGTAATGATGATGGTGCTGTTTATAATGGCAAAAAAACTGAAGACACAATCAGGGAGTCAGACCATGTATTTTATACACTGTAGAGTATTGTACGGCACTGTGAAGAAGGATTAGATTCCCTTAAAACAATTTACGTTTTATACCCTTATTTCTATAAATCCCTATAAAATTTAGAAGTTCATGTGATGGATGAACATTCTGGGAAAGAAATAATGTCTCATTCAAAACTGATGCTCAGAAGAGAGCAATTATGAGCATTTTGACCTAAAAGTAAATGCTCAAAAGCATATAAAAAAAACACATCAGTGCCAATAGAGTATGTTTTTTTTTTTTTTATGTTGCTGTCAGGTTTAGTGGAAGTTAGTTGAGGACCCAAATGCAAAAAATGAGGAGGCAGAGAGGATTTCTTGCCGATTTAATTTAGGTGTAGATGGTAGCAGAAGCATAAATCCGGAATAATAAACAGGTGACCTAAAAGTAGGAGATGCCAGGGAGAAACAGACATGAGGAGTGAAGTAAAGATGTGAATCCAGCAATAAGGACCTGCACAGGAAGAGTATCTATGGGAGAGAAAACAAAGAATGGGCAAATAAACTCATTGTAGGCAGGTTTTGTTAGAAGTAACTAGAAGGGAGCTAGGGAAAAGGAGACTGGCACAATAGAGAGTAGCTCAAGAAATACAACGCTGTTGAAATATAATTAGAAAACAACTAGAATGACCCAATATGAAAAAGAAACCAATGACCAAGAAAACACAGAATGACATATATCAAAGTGTAACTGGAAACTCAAAACGAAACTTAAACAGAAGTCCAGACAGTCATGACAGTTGTATTCTATATAAAATGTTATTTTTGTCTGTACTCTTATGATCAATCATCTTCATTGCAGGGAATGATGTACCTGGAGGAGCGCAGACTTGTCCACAGAGATCTAGCAGCCCGGAATGTTCTTGTCAAATCTCCAAACCACATCAAGATCACAGACTTTGGCCTGGCTCGGCTGCTGGATGTCAACGAAAAAGAATACAATGCTGATGGGGGAAAGGTTCATTTCAGCATCTTTTTCACAAATATTTGCACCACCCCATATAATTCAACAAATAAAACTGTAATGCTTTTTATATGTTTGAATTATTGCAATTTACTATTGGGCTCTTCACAGTGCATTAAACCCATGATGTAATATTTATTTAACTGTAGCTTGAAAAAACTTGCTTGCTATCTTGACTTAATTTCTTCTTAAGATAAATGTGAAATAATTGAACAAAATTTACATATTTTTTCCCCTTTACTTTTCAGAATTATTTTATTTTTGTATAAAGTAAATGCAAACTTTCTAAGAACTTAAAAGCACAATAACTACGTGTTTTACCAAAGCATTGGCTTTTTATAGGACTTGTCTGATTCCGTTTATATATATTTAGAACTAACTTATTTTTTATTCCAACGGGGTGATTTAAGTTCATACATTAGAACCAATCCTAGTTCTGCAATCAGAGCAGTTTATCACATTTTATTTTCTGCAGTTTCATGTGATGGTTATGGAAATGAAATATTGAACAATTCCTTTAGACTGCTGCATTGATGAGTTATAAAATGAAACAATAGGCATTAACATTAATAAGGATTTCATAGCCTCAGGGAGGAGCATTACCAATCACAAAGGATGCTTTTTCTTGGAGTAAAATACTCTTCTGCTCTATTGAACCGTTTTATTTACCTTCGGGGAGAGGAGATCTCAAAACTCTGTAAACGTAGTGAATAAATCTGTCCCTGGGGCTGTGTGAGCACAGATCTCTGACCTTTTCTAATCTTTGTTTATCCTTTAGCTGACTAATAAATTGTTTTGAAACCCTCTTTTACCAAAGCAAACATATTCCTCTTCTCTCGCTCCTTACATTTATTGTGGTTTCTCTGTCTCAGCGTTCTCTCAGTGATGAGTGCTAAGGTGTTATCCCCTTAGCTGTAAAATAAAGGCACTTTAACCTTCAACATTCCCTCTTCTCTTGAGCTCTATCACTGTAATCAATGGAATTGGCCTTCAAATCTAATCACAGTGTTAAGATTTATTTCAGACCACACTCCTTTATGCTTTGTCTTTTTTTAATGCATTTAAGTCTAAGTACATGAGTGCCTGTCTTTGTATTTAGGTGCTCAAGTCGGGCTTACGCTGTTTGATTATTTTGCTCTTTTCGGGGCGACTTTCCAGACATGCGAGAATTTTCCGATTGGCCCGACTTTCAGCCTGATTGTGCATCGTGTAGTGTACATGGGGGTTATCAGGTGCGATCAGCCTCTCACGACCACCTCCCGATCACGAATCGTGAGGTGAGGTCCCAACCGTCAAGGGCAAATTGCTCAGTGGGCATGTGCAAACAAGGATTCATCTTTTTCTTCACCCTGCCATGTTTGCTCAGCCATGACTTTGTCCAAATGCATCCTCTCTTTTTCTTTTTAGGGCTTTCAGTACAAAATTACACCAATTGCCAAGGCAGCAACGTTTACTCTAGTGAGCTTCATATTCCTCTTCTACCGGATAGATGAGTAAGAGTAGCTCCATCTTGCTTGAGCTGAGTCAGACATGTTTTTTAGACGTACAGTGTGAGCAGGTAGATCGCATCAGAGCCTCATGCTGCACATACATCGTGAGTTGTGAACTTAAACTGTATGACAAAACTTTAAAAGCTTAAGGTCGATATCGTGTTTGTAAAACACTCCCTTTAAACTCCTTTAATTTGTGATCACTTTTTACTGCCCAACATGGCTGAAATAGTTAGTTCTTACAAAATTAAAGTTGAAATCAACATTGCAAAACGGTTTTCTTGCACACAAAGTTGTTTTTTATTTCTCTTATTGCTTTTGTCAATAATGTTTACATGTATGCATTAATAACACATAGTTCTGTATTGCAGATGCCAATCAAATGGATGGCCCTAGAGTGTATCCATTACAGGAAGTTTACTCACCAGAGTGATGTTTGGAGTTATGGTGAGTTACTTTTACAATCTGTTGAGATCATTGTATTGATCATTTCTGTATGATCAAGCTGCTCCATATATGGAATCTGATATTTCTTTTTCATCCATCTTTTGACTTAAAGGTGTAACCATATGGGAACTTATGACCTTTGGAGGAAAGCCATATGATGGAATTCCTACTAGAGACATTCCAGATCTGCTAGAGAAAGGAGAGCGCCTTCCCCAGCCACCAATCTGTACCATTGATGTCTATATGGTCATGGTGAAATGTATGTACAAACAAAACATCTGCAGCTAATTTTAATGTGCATGAGGCAACATAAACTTTTCAGGCAGCAAAGAGAATTTAATATTTCTAATATTATCTTCTGATATTAAAAAGGAAAGGATAAAAAATTAAATAAGGAAAACTGGACATTTTATTTTGTAGTTTGAAATGTTTAGTTATTTATCCAAAAGACTTTTCTAATCATAGCTAGTTAGGGGACATTTTCAAGCTTTTAAGCTTGTTTTGCAAGTGCTCTTTTGCTGATCAGATTCACAAGCAGAACTCCACTTTGATTCACCTAACAACAGGACATCGTTATTGCCATTAGTAATCTGACTTACTGGGAGATGTTTGGTTGTGTGCAAGAAACTGTAAATTGGTTTGAAACTGACAGGGGATCAGGCCTAACACTGAACTGTAGGCTTCTGAATGCTGAAATCTGAGGCTTTCTACTTAGTTTGGATGTAATGATAGTATTTCTTTTGACACAAATGGTTCCCTTCACTCCTTTCTCAAGCAATATGTGTTCTTTTCAAAACTATACAGATTTTTATCCTTTAAAAGAGGTTTCTTTAAGGCATAGGTGCAGATCTGAGTCTTCTACTGAGGAGGTGGCTTTCATTTGTTTAGCCACTCATTGAGCAGTTTTTAAATTTATGGGAATATTGCCCAAGAAGTAGGAAGTAGAAGTAGAAACAGATTTGACCAACTTGGGTGTTCTTGAGATTCGGTCTTGAAATGTTTATATTTTTAGTCATCATATGTGTTCCAGCAATTTTGCAAATACAATAAAGTTAGAAAAATACTTTTTTCTTTAAATTACCTTATATCACTTTGGGTTTCTTAGAGAATTTAGTGACTGATTTTTCAAAATTATGCTCTTAGATACAGCAGTCTGTCTGTCTGTCTGTCTGTCTGTCTGTCTGTCTGTCTGTCTATCTATCTATCTATCTATCTATCTATCTATCTATCTATCTATCTATCTATCTATCTATCTATCTATCTATCTATCTATCTATCTATCTATCTATAGATATACAGGGAGAGGCCAGTTTTGTATTTTACATCACAGATAACTGTATTAACAACTTGTTGGCATTATTTGCCACACTCTCATGGAATGCCATCAGATAGCACTGTAACATGTGGTTGCTTTTGCAAGGGTATAGACTTGCTGCCAATTGACGACTGGCCTTGTCCACTGCTCAGTGACATGGAGCCTCTGGCTGTCATTGTCACCTTGACTTTTTCTGCCACCCCCCACCCCCAGTTCCTGCGCCAACTTGGCAAACAGTAGAGAGTACCCTTGTTATATGCTGTTATTTACAAAAAAAGTTTATTTACTACTAAGCTATTTCATACCACCTTCTGCTTAATTTGTACAGCCTCAGTGTTCATTTCAACATATTGCCAATGATGCTCAGATAAGGTAATATCGCATGATTGCTTTGGTGCTGTATCCATGTGTCCACCAGTAAAATTGGCAGTAGAGGATATTTCTCCATATGGCAATTCTAGTGATGAAACAGTATTTATATTTAGGTTGAATATGTGACATGTAACAACACCTTTAAATAGGAAATGTGTATTTGCTCATTTTCACAAAACTAAAAATACAAAATGTGATAAAAAAAAAAGCAAAAATGCTAAGTTCATGCCTGTCAGTTAAGCAAAATTAATAACTAAAGCAATGATGCTATACATACACATGTTTTTTTTATCTATTTTATAAATACTGTATGCAAGGCAGAAAAAATATTGGGAGTTAAAATTTGGTAAAGGATTTTACAATGTTTTTCTCAAAGTATTCATATCTTTTGAACTCTTCCACATTTTGTCAGTCTTATGCAAGCCTTTTTTAAGTTCTCTAGCTGAATTCCCATATACTCAGCTGCATCATCCTATGATCAACCCTGACATAATGTTTAAGAATTTTAAAGGTTTGAATAGAGAGATTGAGCAATACTTTTTCCTTCAACACATTTGCACTTTGCGAAAAAGCTTAATAGAGATCTGCAACTTCTAAATAGTTACCATGGCTGTTTTTCGGATCATTCTGAACAATGCTTTCCTTGCAAAGTTTAGGTGGACCTGTCTTATTACAGTAGGTTTGCAGTTGTACTATACACTTTTTATTACTGATAATTTGCTTTACACTTCCCCAAAACTTAATACCTGTTCTGTCTAGTGTGTTTGTTTGTGTTTATGATACTTTTCATTCAGCAGTGTTTCCAAACTAGCATGAGGTCTTTACAGAGAATCTACAGTACACTAAGAATAAATAACATAATGTGGGTAGTCTATTAACTAATTGCAACCGATTTTTTTCTCTAGCCATCACAATAATGATGGGTGGATACAAATGCATTTGACATATTTAGATTTCTATTAATAAACCATTAAAAATATGTCATTTTTATTCTAATTTACAAGTATGCATTAAATTATGCCTGTCTATCACATGAAATCCTTATTACCGGTATATGCACTGACTTTGGTTACAATATGACAGAATGTTAAAAAGTGGAGTTATTATTACTTCTGTGAAATACCATAATGAAAATCAGTTGTGCATATTACAGATGACATAAAGACAGTAAATGAAAAACGTTTTTCTTCATGAGCTTGTAGAGAATTGGTTCAGCTTTATAAGGGTTGCTTGATACCGCTCCACTAAAAAAAAAAATCCAATAAGCATACTGACATCTAGGGTCCAACTTAAAGCCAGACACACACTTTTTTATATATATATAATATATATACTTTTTCTTTTGTTTTTTAGGTTGGATGATTGATGCAGATAGTCGACCCAAGTTCAAGGAGCTAGGCGCAGAGTTTACTCGAATGGCCCGGGATCCCCAGCGATACTTGGTCATCCAGGTTGGTTTTCTCATTTAATTTCACAGCTATTATATAAGGAAATATTTTTCATAAAAGATTGTCTGTTCACTCTTGGACCTAAACTGGGTATACCTCTGTAGAAAATTTGAAATCTGTGAAACTCTTTAAAAAATGAGAAAATTGAGAACTGAATTAGTGATAAACCTTTACCAAGTAAATGATGTACCATATCAGTTTTGTCATATAGTATCAGTGGTTCTTTACATGAACTTTAGAATAATCTGAAAAATGCACACTTAAATATACTTATCAGGGTGATGACCGCATGAAGCTGCCCAGCCCCAATGATAGCAAGTTTTTTCAGAACCTGCTAGAAGAGGACGAGCTGGAGGATCTGATGGATGCTGAGGAGTACCTGGTTCCTCACTCGTTCAATATTTCACCTCTGGCATACACTCCTCGAACACGCATGGATACAAACAAGGTAAATAATTTTAGTATATGCAAATTTCTCCAGGTAAAAAGAATTTTAACTCTTCGGGAAAAATGACAGTTTCCTTAAAGCAAACTTGTCCATGTCGGATCTCATAATAGTTGAGTTTTTTCCCTTTCTAGAACATGAAAACTCTTCCTTTTGTCCAATTTGTAAAGTAAAACGATGTACGTCTCTAAAAGTGTGAATATTTATTTTTAATCTCTCTTCAGGCTCATCAAACATACTCGATTCAGACATATTTCTATTTATTTTAGTAGTCTTCTGTGATTATGATTGGACTTTTCAAATCTTTGTTGCTTTACAACTAAAAATATTTGCTTTACCATCATCTAAAAAGCAAATAAATTCTTGTCTCTTTGTGTTCAGTCAGTCAGTATCATACTAGTGTTAAACATACAACATAACTTCCTACAAAATGCGTTATTATGAAGATATATGTTGAATTATATTATTTTCACATATATGGTATTTATAAGCAAATATATACATAGCAAAAAAGCGTGTACACTTTCAGACAGTACAAATATACACTTCCACAGTAGTCAGATTTATAAAAAAAAGAATGCACAGTTACATAATGCATGATTGTTCTGACAACACATTTTGCCAGCTGATAGATAGAAGGTAGAACTTTGAGTTTCCATGGCCTCATACTTCTAGTTCAGCCTGTCAGCTTAGATAGACAGCTATGTTTTCGTAGGCTTGTAGTTGTGCCATGCTCTTTTCCTTTCCATGTGGTGGCTGAAATGTGCTGTGTGATGGTAGAAGCTGGAATATTTTTTTACAAACTAACCCTTCTTAGAAATCTATATTTGTTTTATCACTGAACTGTCTGCTGTGCCGCATTATCGCTATCAAATCCTGCGGTTATGAAATAAAAGGAAAGTTGAAGGGGTATACATACAGTAAAGGGATTTATATTTTACTATAGGATTGTGTCTGTCTTCTTATTTGATTTTTTCCTAATTCAACTCTTCCTAATATATTTTGGAAATTAGATTCTGTCCATTTGTATGATATTTTAAAACCTTTCCTTCAAACTGTTTTTTTTTTTTATATTTTTGTTAGAATTTATATTTTCTGTTGCTTCAATACTTAAATCTAGAACACAGTTATATCTGAATCTGAATATGAAAGATAACAGTTTGCTTTGTACATATTCTAATTAGTGGTAACCCAAATGTATTTAGTGACCAAGTCTATGTTGTGACAAGAGTCTATTTAACAGATCACAAACAATGAGACTGGTAATAAAGTTTACAACTCTGTATCACCTAAACAGAAAAAGGACCATAGACAAACAGTGAATGTCCCGTCTCTAGGCAAAGGTGTAGCTCCATCTGATTTGTATTAACCTTCTTGTAGAACTGTAAATGTCATATTTACTTGTTTATATACCAAGTAAGTTATTAAAAGTATTGATTAGAAGTGGAATCAATATCTAAAGTTCAATTAGTTGAATATAATCTTGAATAGAAGATGCCATTTTACATTTTTTTCCCCAATCTGTGTGTGCAATTAACCAAACAACTTCCCTTTGGAGTATGACGAAAGGCCCAAGGCTCTTAAGAAATAAAGATGAAAATAAAACTGAACAAATCCAACCTTTAAATAAAATTGAGAAACAGAGATAAATCAGTATAAAGCTTTACAGGGGATCTTGAAAATAACCTTTTTTTTATGAGCACAGATATAAATGAACACAGCAGGGCTAAGCTGATATCGCCACTTTAAGCTTTTTTAATTAAAATCCCTTTAATTAAATTGCTCATGGTAGTCAGGCTTCCATATCATTTTGATGCAAAGGTATTTCTCTCGTTTGCCTGCAATGTTTAAATAAAAAAAAATAAAAAAAAAGGAAAAACAGAACTATCAACTTACATGAAACCAGTGAAATCCAATTTCAACACAGACTGTTTTTTTAACATGTCTCTTACCTGTTATTTTATTTGTACACAATATACACATACACACATATACATTGCTTTTGAAAGAATACATTTTTATTGCACATTGCTTCATCCCTATCCCAACAAAACCTTTTGTTTTTCAACTTAATTCTGTTCAGAACCAATTTGGCAGCCAGGATCCAAATTTCACCATGGGTGACATACTGGGGACTCTGCCTAGAGTGGGTCAACCGAACTCTGGAAGCAGCCTCCCTTCACAGGACACTGCAGGGGCCCAGATTGGTTGTGGATATAACCTTGGTAACCAGGATGACCCTCGTTGTAATGGCACTCTAAGGAAGCAGGTTTCCTCAAGGTCAAACACGCTTGGTTCTACCCACGCTGCTGGACAAGGTAAAGCTGGTTGAAAGGCAGCACTCATACCACTGTTTACAAACAGCATTTTATATATATATATATATATATATAATGCAGTTTGTAAAAAAAAAAAATATATATGAAAATATATTGTTGTTTGTAAAAAAATATATATATACTGTATGCTTGACTAGAACATGACTGATTCTTCATTTGATGATGCCAACTGAGCAATGTTAAAAAGCACAGTTAAAAACAAACGAATATAATCAGATGTCTTGCAGTTCTTTAACACACCGGAAGCCCTAAAAGAACAGTGTGCTTATCAGTTACCTGACTGTAACTCTGTTGAATAATACTGCCATGTACAAGAATGCATTTTTTTTTATCCTGTTGTTGACAATGACTTGAATGAAATATATATGTATCCAAAAACTACCCTCTTAGCCTTCACAGATCTTATCTTGCGAATAAAACAAAGTTCTAACTTCATCCCTTCTGTTTGCTTCTCAAGGTGGTGAGGACAGTAGTGGACAGCGCTACAGTGCAGATCCTACCGGTCTCCTGACAGAGCGAGGGGAAAAGGGAGACAAGGATGGCTACACGGTTTCCATGAGAAAAAAGAACACATCAGGTTAAATCAATGACATAAAAAAAAAATGAATGCCAATTTCAATTACAAATTTCTTTAAGACTTATAACGTATAAATTATCAGTCAACCAGTAAAAAGGCTTAAATTGGAAGGCAACCAGACTTTCTATCAATTTTTTGAACATGTTTCGATATCTATTCAGTAGTCTTTTTTCTTATTCTGTGTCTCGCACCAGAGCAATCTATAAGTCTGGGTGCCTTCCACATAAAGCCTGTTTTGTGGTTGTTTGATGCTTTAAGTAATGTCAATAGATGAATGGTTTATAGCAACTGAATGACTAACCGACAACTTATAGGACTAAGCAGTACAAGTAGTAATATCTTTGATCCCCTCTTTATTCGCAGATCTCCATCCTGTTGAGGAAAACCCATTTGTGACGCGTCGTAGAAATGGTGATGCCCACGTGGTGATGGATGGAGCAAGTTGCCACACTTTACTCATAGCTGGGGCTTCGGCAGGACCAAAAAGTCAGTCTGTCCATGGTGATGATGAGTATATTAATGAGCCACTGTACCTGAATACATTCCTTAACCCTGGGGACAAGAATGGATTAGCTGGTGCAATTTCTATCTCTGCTTCTACATCTTCTACTGCACAATCAGTCTTGCAAACAGCAAACCCTTCCACATCAAGCCACATTGTTTCATCTACTGGATATGTAGTTACTCCTGGCCTACTCCCCCAACCAACTTATCCATCACATACCCTGCATCCAGGGCATTCAGGACACACCCTGCACACAGGCATCAGCAGTAGCACAATGATGTTTGACAAGAAAGCCAAGAAAGCAACTTTTGACAATCCTGAGTATTGGCAGCACAGTCTCCCCCCCAAGTCCACGTTGCACAATCCTGAATACCTGCAGGACTGCAGCACTCGTTTCTTTTACCGGCAGAATGGACGCATTCGCCCTGCTGTGGCAGAAAACCAGGAATATTTGTCTGAGGCTGCTATGAAGGCTGGCAATGTTTTGCCACCCCCTCCGTACAGGCAGAGGAACACTGTGGTGTAGTGACCCATCTGTAGCATCTGGAGATAAGAAATTATGTCTTTTCAATGCCGTATTTTATCCTCCTGGGCCCTCCTTGCACCTTTTCTAAAAATGTTTCATAAACATCTCTGGTTGGAAGTCCTCTATTCTTGTGGTTTGAATCTGCCTTTTCACTGTAGACCTAAATGACTGTCACTGACAGCTGCATTTAAGACTTAAACCATCCTTTTTAACATGACTCCTAAATTAGAGGCATCTCCTGCAGGGAGGGGTCTGAAGAAAATTGTTATGGCATATTTCACTAAATAACAGAAACAATACAAGAAGACATAACAAACTTGTGTTGTTGACAAAGAAGAAATGAACTGTTAGTCAGATGAGGGTTCTTTTCATTGACACTGTAAGATTTAGTTTTTTTGTTCTGTATGTTTTAAGATTTTTTTTTAACAAACTAGTCATGCACATTTAATTTTTTTTCAGCCTATAATGTGAAACATGCTTTCAGAGAATTATTTTGTCTTTATACAGAACTGAAGACATGCTGAATTTGCTTGATGGACAGTAGTTTCCATTCCCACCCACCCACTTCTTTGAGTTTCCCTTTTTCTAATACAAGTAAGCATGTAATACTTTGGACAAGCCTGAAGGCCTGACACACCAACAGTAACCAGACATTAATTTGCACATAAATGTATCAACCTCAAGGGTGCATTCCCCATTTCACCCATAGACTGCCACAGATAGGCTCTGGGCCCCATTGCAACGCTGACAGAGAAAATGGATGGATGGATGTACCAACGGATCAGCCTTCTGCCATTTGAAATGTATTCTGAAGTAGTTTATTTTAGATTTTGTACTGAAATATCTTTCAGGAGAAAGCAGACAGTTTTTCTAAGCAGAAGAAGGGCAGATAAGAAGAAACAAAATGTTTGATAGTGTGATTTTAAGCTTTTGGTCCTGTCCACAGTACAGTAACATGATTAATTTAAACTATTTACACTTTCCAAAATCAAGATGTTTATACATTTGTTTTTTGTTTTGCTTTTTGCTCCAACAATTATGGAGCTGTTTTAGGTTGTGTTTTCCACCCCTTCATGTTGTCCTTCCTTTATCCTTATTTTGGGACATAACCTTTTAATGCAAGCTCAAGAGGTAACTGAAGGAAAGGAAAGGGAAACAACTGTATGAAAAAGCACAAAATACAACAGGGAATGAGGACTGATATTACAACAGATTGCATTCTGGGATTGTTAGAGGTTTACTACTGGCTCTTGTAAACAGCAGTCTGTAACTCATAGAAGACAAAACTAGGCTTTTAAAACCCAACTTGAGAAGGTAAATATGAGCTTTTGGAAAATAGTGTTTAGGTTTTCTTTTTGGACAGTTTTCCCTATGAACATACAAAAATAAACAAAACAAAAAAACTAAATGCAGATGCTCTTGCATGTGTCTGTCATGTTGTCTGCAGAGCACATATTTATACTCATAAGGACTAAGAAAAAATATTGAAATAACTCATGGATGGTTTATGTGTACATTAGTCTGTCTCATCTAAAATTTTGTGAAAAATGAGGTCATTTCTAGGAGAAAAAGGTAGTCAAAATCTATGTACTGGTGACCTCTTTGTTGGGTCATTTCCATATCATCATAATGGAGGAATGGAGTGAGCTACACAGATTTTGTTGCTCTATGACATTATAACCCATTTCCCCAAAAGTTTTTCCTCTGAATATTAGTATTGTTGTTGTAATTAACATTACTTGCTGCTAGGTTAACATTTACAGTAATTTTTTTTAGGCATCCCCAAGTTCTGTTTATCAAAAACATTGGAAGAAATATAGGTTCAGACAGTTATCCAGAACTGTGGAACAGGGATCTCTGATTAAGATGCAAAAGATCTGTTGATATGTTAAAAAGTGAATACTTAGAAACAATCACTTTAATTACAACTTTTATTTCAAATATATTTCCACTAAATCAGACAAATGTATGCATTAAAAAGTGAAAAAATGATCAGCCTGCCATATCAATGTTTAATGTTTCAGTGAACCTGGACCCAATGGCATAATTATCTTAATATATTGCAAAGAAGTTAATTTTGGGGAAAAGTTTTTTCTAAAAAGATTTAGTAGAAACTTTATTGGAGTAGCTTTTGTTTATCAAACCACAATGTTTTATTATACTGTGTATTTAAATTATAAAGGTGGGGGGAAAACTGCTCTGACAACTGAGGAAGAAGACTGTGATTACAGCCCTAAGAGCTGTAATAATGAGCAAATTACATGTCATTACCAGATAGACAGTTGAGAGGAAAAAGACTGTATGGACAAATCAGTTTCTGAGGATGATAATTCACACATCAAAGGCAAAACAAGATTTTTGCACCACTATTTTTTAAGAAATACTCAAATGAACCTTGTTTTAGTGTCTGCTCTCATTTTTGCTTTGGTTGTGCCAAATGGAGAGCCTTTCCAGCCTTTCACATTTTTGATTTTAATGTGAAAGAAATTTATTTTGAACAAAGACAGGAATTTGTATACAAAACATATAGGATACATGAACTGTAATCATGTATAACAGTAACTCAAAACAACTTGATGCAATCTCAAAAAAGGGTTGCGAATAAGTTTAAAGAGCTTTTTAACTCCAAAAAAAAGAAAGTGAAAAACAAGCCACTGTTTTCTTTTTTCCAAGTTTGAAGATGCTTCGCTTCCCATTCAGGAAGCTTTTTCAATATTTTTATTTTTTTTACTACCATCCCTTTTTAATTCCACCCACCCCATTTAATATGAAGTATAAGCAGTGATTGTTTTTTGACATTTTTTGTTAATTACTGTTTAAGATTTCTGTAACTAAACATTACTACTTTATTCCACATAAAACCCTCACAGAGACCACTAGCATTTATAGTAAAAAAGACGGTAACGCCTAACCATCACTGGATAATTGAATTGCGCTTAATGCCCTGCAACAGCTAACTGCTGTTTTTCTCCCTCAAAATGCAATTCACGCATATATGTTTTATATGGCGCAAGCATAATTTAGCATGACTATTATTTTCATTTCACCAGCATTTAACTAATTAATTTTCATCACTTTGGCAGTTCAATAACTTTATATGAAGATGAGTGACACGATTTTAATCAGGGAAGCATCCTGTATAATTAGCTATTCAATTCACTGGATCTAATAAGTTTTTTGGATTCAGTATTGCTCATTTTGTGGTCTGGATTGAGGGTTGAAAGGCTGAGATTCTTTAAATGTCTGTAAGTAGTTTAGGTCCATTCCGACAAAATAAAAGCTCTGTCTTTCAGAAGAAAAATATTCTATTAATATGCCTCACAGTAGGTCTCCACATCTTTTAGCAGTGCATCCCAACCCTCAACTTGATACCTAATAGACACAGGCAAATGAACATCATACTATGCAGAGTGAGTACATCTTTCAAGTGCATAGTATGTAAATTTATATTTTCCTCAGGTACTATTCAGTTTTGATATATTTGTCTAAAACAACTTAAGAAAGCCTTTAAAATTCATCATTTAATGAAGTAATTGTAGGTAAACAGCCAGAAATTGTACCAGAAATGCAGCAATGCATCTAACTAAGCATGCAATTATTATAACCAGAGACACCAACAGTTTAAATTTTTTTCAAGACTCCCATTAATGTTCATTATAAATTGCTGTGATCTGGACCGGAGCCAGATCATGTGATCAGATCAGGAAATCCCAAGCCAAAACTAAATGTGACCCGATGCTCTCCCCATGACTGTGAGCACATTTTTAAGACGGATAGATCTGCACAGTTTGAAGAAAAACAATATACATAATCATGTTATTTTGTTGTTTCTAAGCCAATTATAGAATTGGGTCTGCAAACACTGATGTTTTTTGCATTTTGCTGTGATTTATTGTGGCACAGCTGTTATCACACTATACTATACTGACATTATATTTCCATGCATACAATAAAACCTTGTGGTTTGAAAATAGTTCCTGTGACTTGACAAACAACTTTCAATCCGGCATGACTTAAAAAGGGAATTGAGTTCGCAATCTTGCTTTCCCCATTTAGAAAAAAGATACTGTAGGTAAGTATCCAGATTAGCCTGATGGACTTTTTATTGCTACACACCAATGTACAAGTGCTATTACACAACCTTGTGCCTCTATATTAAAGATTTAAATATGCAGCATTGATGAGTTACTACTGTGCTACCAAGCACAGATGTTGCCCTGGCAGAGTGTTTTCTTTGCCTCTCAGGTTTTATAGGAACAAAATAATCATCCATTTGAGCTCCAGCTGAGGCATGTGTTGCCCGATCATAAAGGGATTTCAAACCTATTGAAATACAAGTACATTGGAAGATAGATTGGTGCCATAATACCACAGTAGATGAACACATTTCTGTTGGGTTGTGCAAAGCAACCTGCAATGTGAGTTTAATCGCGAATTAAAAAGTGCTAATTACAGTTTTGCTTCTCTTCTCTGTTGCTAATCCTTTGATCTGTTCTAAATCCGCTAATATTTTTCTGAGGTTGTGTGAGTGTTTCAATAGAGTTTTGTATGAAGAAACACAAGAATTTGCCCAAATCATTTGTGTGTAGCATAGAAATATCCTCTCCGTGTTGAACATTCTGTTTTTTGAGCTTATCATCCATGAGGTATTAGTAGCAGCGCTTGTAGACCACGGTATGACCATGCATCCAAGAGCAATAAGAGCAGTAAAGTCTCATCATTAGGGATTGAAATGGATCTCTAGGGGAATATAAACCCAATCTGTAAAAGAGAAAAGCTGCTGGTGCTCTCAGCTGGCAGCCATCACAGGGGCTTTTAGCTTTTCGGATGCTAATTTATCTACTTTCTCATTGTTGTTCTATGGGGAAATCATGTTACCCAACATTTCACCCAGCACACAAGCTGAGAAGCCAAGAACAACAGGCAATTGGTTGTAATCTTGCAGTGAGGTTAAAACGATGGCATTGGCATTCAAGAAATGTTACCCGGCTAATGCATAAATGTTACAAACACCAGGAGGGAATGTGTTGGTGTGACTGCACTGTAACTGGCTGAGTTAAAAGGCCACTGTTTATGTCTCCTCAGAGGTGACTGCTGAATTGTTTGTAACAAGAACTGGGATGCAGCAGATGGGCTGCATGAAGCGTATGGTGAAAATATTGTTTAACTTAAGTATTTGGTTTTTGTTTGTGTTTGTCTGTTTTTGTAAGTACTGTGCACATTTCAGGACACACAACTTTATATTTTTTTCTTAAATATTATTTATTTCAATTTAGGCTCTTAATAAAAATTTTATTAGAGAGGTGAATTATCGTTTCTTAGTCCTGTTTGTGCATCATTGTTTTTTTGGGTTTTTTTTTGGAAATAGTAGTTGTGTAATCATTAAATAGCTAAAATATTTTGTTATAACTCAAGTCCATAAAGAACCTGAAGGACTTTACTGAACAAAATTAACATACATTTTAAAAGATGTGCCTCCAAAACATTTAACTGTTTATTACTGAAAGACTGAATTAGAAATGCTTTAGCAGAAAGTATACCCAATTAGATGTTTTAAATGTACAAGTTTTCTTTTTTTTTGTTTTTTATTGATTTTTGCATACATACATGTTTACATGTTAAAATAAACCAGGTTTAATCAAAACTCTTTAAATTTTAGAAAACGCAGATGTTTTGCGTAATTTAACTATAGAAGTTATCACATATGTTACGTATAGTTACATCATCAGGAGGTTGCCCCTCTCTTCTACATTTTCAGAATGGTTAGGATGTTAAGATCCATCAGACCCAACAAAAAGGAATACAAACCACGCAGATGCTTTGGGACCCGCTGTGAGCCAGTAGAGCATAATAGCAACAAAATTATCAAAGTAGT